CCATATAGAACTTCAAAGGGTGAACGACCCAGAGCTCAATGGTAACTAGTGTTATACCACAGTTCAGCAACTGACAACCACTTGAGTTCACTGCACATCTCAGAAAACCTTCCAAACATTGGTTGAGACGTTCTAATTGCCCATCAGTTTGTGGGTGATATGATGAACTCATCATGAGCTGGGTGTCAGACAACCGAAACAGTTCTCTCCAAATGGCACTTGTGAAGATCTTGTCTCTGTCAGATACAATTCCTTTGGGCAGGCCATGCAACTTGTACACAGAGTCCAAATAAGCCTGAGCCACAGTCAAGGCTGAGAATGGGTGAGCAAGTGGAATGAAATGACCATATTTAGTGTACTTGTCAATGGCGACCAGGATGGTGTCAAATTTCTGAGATTTTGGCAACCCTTCTATAAAATCCACGCACACAACCTGCCAAGCTTGGTCAGGTACAAGAAGTGGTTGTAATAACCCTGGAGGCTTAATGTGCTCAACCTTGGCTTGCTGACAGATCTGACATTCCTTCATAAACTTTGCTACAGCAGCTTTCATGCCTGGCCAAGAAAACAGATGTCTAATTCTGTAATAAGTGGTTTGGAACCTGAATGTCCACCAACTCCAGAACTGTGCACAGCCTGCAGCACATGTTGCTGAGCCAACTCATTTGAGCCCAACCAAATTCTGCCTTGATGTCTGATGAGTCTATCACTGACAGAATACTCCCCAATTGGATTAGCTAATAATTGCAGAGCCTGAGGGTCACCAGAATAGCCCAACTTAACTCTGTCTATCCAGTCAGGACTACAGAATGATATTGCCATCACAGATGTTGGAGAATAGCACCTGGAAAGGGCATCAACAGCTTGGTTCAAAGCTCCTTGCTTATATATGATTTTAAATTGAAGATTCATCTACTTCAACAAGGCCTTTTGCTGTATTCTTGAAGTAATCCTTTGCTCAGTCAGATGAAGTAGACTTTTATGATCTGTCCTGATGATGAACTCAGCATTTTGCAGATATGGGCGCCATTTCTCCGCAGCAAGAATTATAGCCACGCATTCCTTCTCATAAGTTGACAGAGCTTGTTTTTTTTCACACACAGCTTTGCTTAAATAAGCTATAGGATGGGAATCCTGCAGTAGTCCTGATGATGAACTCAGCATTTTGCAGATATGGGCGCCATTTCTCCACAGCAAGAATAATAGCCACGCATTCCTTCTCATAAGTTGACAGAGCTTGGTTTTTGCACACACAGCTTTGCTTAAATAAGCTATAAGATGGGAATCCTGCAGTAGTACAGCCCCAAAGCCCACATCATTAGCATCAGTCTCCAAAATGAATGGCTTGCTGAAATCAGGTATTGCAAGAACAGGAGCATTCACAAGAGCTAACTTCAGTTGGTTGAATGCCTCTTGTGCTTGAGAAGTCCACGCAAAAGGAACCCCTTTCTTTAGCAAGTCAGTCAGATTCCTACTGATCAAACCATAGTGTTTAATAAACTTCCTATAATATCCAGTTAACCCTAGGAAGCCTCTGAGGTCCTTGACATTCTTGGGTACTGGCCATTGCTCCACAGCAGAAATCTTAGACTTCTCAGTAGCTACCCCTTGACTGGAAATGCAGTGACCTAAATACTCAATCTCCTTCTGAGCAAAGGAGCATTTGGAAAGCTTGATGAAGAATTTGTGCTGCCTGAGTATATCAAAGACTTATTGCAACAGAATCACATGCTCTTCAAGAGTGGATGAATAAATGAGGATATCATCCATGAAAACAAGAACACCTTTCCTCAGTAAAGCTGCAAAGATTAGATTCATCACACTTTGAAATGTTGCAGGAGCATTAGTCAATCAATCAAAAGCCATCACCAGAAATTCATAAAGACCATTATGTGTCTTGAATGCTGTCTTGTGAGTATCTTCTGGATGGATACAAATTTGATGGTAGCCTGCTCTAAAATCCAGCTTAGAGAACCACTGAGCCCCTGCTAGTTCATCAATCAACTCATCAACTATAGGCATGGGGTGTTTGTTTTTCACAGTCTGAGCATTTAAGTGCCTGTAATCCACACAAAACCTCCAAGTACCGTCTTTCTTTTTGACCAATAAGACTGGAGAAGCATATGGGCTCTGACTTGGTTTGATAATCCCATTTCTGAGCATTTCAGCTAACTGCTTCTCTATTTCATCCTTCTGAGCAGGAGAGTACTTGTATGGCCTAATATTCACTGGTGGAGCTCCAGGTAGCAACTGAATGTGATGGTCAAATGATCTCTGGGGAGGCAAAGCTGTGGGTTCTTGGAAAAGATCAGCATACTGCTGCAATAATGTCTGAATATCTCTGGGCACTTCACTGGATTCAGTCAGAGTGACAGTGTGCATTTCCTGTGTATCAGCAGACAACTCAGTCTGAGGCCACTCCAATTTGAACTGCAAGCACTGTTGAACAGCATCCCTGCTAAGCAAGCTTTGCAAACAGGAACTGGAGATAGCAGCACATTGAGCATTCTGTTGCTTGACACCAAATAATTCTATTCTCTTCCCTTGATAGGTAAACCTCATCACTTTATTGCCCCAATGAACCCACATAGGACTGCATTCCTCCAACCAATCTTCTCCCAAAATCATATCAAAACACTTTAGTGGTAAAATGCCCACTGAAGATATGAAGGAATGGCCCTGCACACTCCAATGCATGTTCTGAACCTGTCTGTTGCACACCATAGGGCTACCATCAGCTGCCACAAAATTTGTTGGCTTGCATAGAACAGACTGTAACTGTAGACTGTCTGCTAACTGTGTGCTGACAAAGGAAGCTACACTGCCAGAATCAACCAAAATGAGTACCTCTCTTTTCCCAATTCTCCCACACAACTTCATTGTTTTCCTCTTAGCTTGATCAGGAGAAGAAGTGTTTCCAACCACCATCACTGTCTCCTCTAAAATATCAGGATCAGGTTCAGAATCATCCAGTCCCTCAGCCTCCAAGGCATCTAATAACTCCTCAATGACATGCAAGGCAACCTGAGGGGGACACTTATGTTCCTTGCTCCACTTATTTCCACATTTGAAACAAAGCCCATTGCGGCGCCTAAAATTCTTGAGAGTGGTCAACTTATCTTCAGGTTCTGACAACAAGGCCTGCTGCTTGGGTTTTTCAGCCTCTCCTGCTTTCACCTTCTCACCCACTGATCTGAATGGATTTCTGTAACTGTCTTTCATCAGAGGCCTAGTCTTGAATTTACCCAATTCAGCTTCCTGAAGGAGGGCCAGAGCACTTGCAGTCTCCACATCAGGGGGCCTATGCAACACAATGCCAGAACGAATCTCCTCCTTGAGGCCTGCAAGAAACCGAGTGACAAAATAGGTCTCATCATAATTGGAATTGTAGAGCAACAGATTATGAGCTGATTGTTCAAATTCTGCTATGAACTCGGCCACTGATTCAGTCTGAATAGTGCTTTTGAACTGCTTCAAAATCAATGGATACTGATCCTTATCGAAACGAGCCATCACCAATTTGCACAGAGTTTGCCAATCTGTGATGCGCTCACGCCGTTCAACAGTATGCAACCAGGTCTTGGCGATCCCCATGAAATTCAAGGCGGCAAAGCGCGTCTTCAACGTTGGATGCACAGCATATACCTCGAAATACATGGTACAATGATCTTGCCATAAGCGTGGGTTGGATCCATCAAACTTGGGAAACTCGAGTTTAGGAAAGGGAGGAGGGCATAGAGAAGCATCAACGATAGGCTGTGAATCATCAGACATACCCTCATTGCAGTACTGCGGTCGGGTTCCTGGGAACCCGCCGCAGTGCTCGCCGTGCCCCATGGGCTGCTCCGCGTCCACCACAGGTGAGCGTGAGGACGTCGCCGGAGCAGTGTTGAGATCCAGTGCTCACGTGAGAGGCTGTGCTGGGGTAGCTGTCGTCGGAATCGCGCCGAGCACGCCGGGTCCGGGTGCAGGTCCGGTGGTGATCCCAACTCGTGGTGCCTCCAAGGTGTCGACACGCCCCGGGTCCGGGTGCAGGTCCGGTGGTGATCCCAACTCGTGGTGCCTCCAAGGTGTCGACACGCCGCACCAGGTTGTCGATGCGAGTCGCAGCGTCGCGGATGGAGGTGGTCGTCGCCTCCGACTGGTCACGCAAATCGCCGAGCAGCGTCTCGGTGGAGGTCTGCCGCCTCCCCATGCCGTTGATGGAGTCGAGCGTCTGCCGCATCATCTCGCGAAGTCCCGTGAACTGCTTCGCCATGTCGCTGAAGGCGTCCAACTGCTTGGCCATGTCGTCGAACTTGGTGGAGAGCTCGTCCAGCGACGCGGCCATCTGCGCCTGAATCTTCGTCGGCTTGCGGCCGAGCGCCAGGACGATGAATCGATTGGGGAGAAAAATTTCCGCCCAATCAACGGCTCTGGATACCAATTGTTACGTTCCGGATCAAGAACGTAACTGATAACTGGAGTGGATAGAGTTATGGATAGGATTCAGCAAAGAATCTGAGAAGAACAGCAAGAAAGCAAATGGGAAGTTTCAGAAGAACACGCGTTTCAGAGTTCAGGTTCGGGATTTTTGTTATTCGTTGCCTTCCTCAATCCGTTACATGGGGTTATATACTTCCCCGACTTCACCTACTTACATCTCAGCTCAAAGGCTTAAGCCCACTAACCAATAGCAAGAACTAAAGCGCGGCCCAATACTACTGGACAGACTTAGCCACTGTCAGACGCCTTAGCTTCTGTTGTCGGAAAACATTCAGTCTTCTTTCCCTTCTTCTTACCCGTGGCTCTCACAATATCCCTAGCACTCAACTACACTACACTACACTCCAGGTATCAGTGCAAAAGCTTCAGGCCAAGAAACAGAGCAGTATATATATATGTAGCAGAGCACATCATCTTTGTGCTATCCATATACAAGCTCTATCTCTCTTGGGCATAACAGAAATAGCGCCAGTGGCAGTGAGTGCAAGAGAGATCAAGGTCTGTAGGCTGTAGCCATGAGTGGGGGTGCTGAGATGGTTGCCGGAGCTGTTGTGCGGCGTGTGGCTGGCATGCTTGGGGAGGCCGCCTGGGAAAGGGTCGAGCTTCCGTGGATGTTCAAGGATGATGTTGAGGAGATGAAGAACAAACTGGTCACCGTGCAGGCTGTGATGGTGGATGCTGAGAACCGCTCCCATGGCAGTGCGTCGGTGCGGCTTTGGCTCAAGAAGCTCAAATCTGCCGCCTACAACATTGAAGACACGATGGACGAGCTGGAGGCCAATACAATGATATGGAGGAGCACCACTTGCTCGGTAGCACTTACATCCTGTTCCCTGAATATATAAAGCAAGCTTATTATTTCATTTGAGAAAGCTGCATCTATTATGCAACCATTTTGCATCAACATATCAACATGAAAAACTAATAAGAAGTTTGATGACATTTTTGTTGAAGTTGCAGTCTCTCATATCACTAAGCCAACTAATGAAAGTGCCATGAAATTGTGTGGCTTAGATCTGAAATAAATTGTATATAGCATATACAACTTTCTTCTTTTATTGATACATTCAGTGTTCCTTAACCATTCAGATTTAACTAAATTGATTGACTCGAAAAGAAAAGAAATTTCTAAGCAATAACCAAATTTAAGCCTTCATAATCAAGTTGCTCCAAATTGATGTAATGACATTCGTTTGTGTGAAAAAAATAGTATATATATATCATTGTCTTCTTAGCATATATATAATATATGTGAAACAAATAGAACAACTTCTACCATATCGTTTGCAGATATTGCAACTGTCTACCTTGTTTTAAAATATAACTGAATTTGCCAAATATTTATCAGTATTTTTTATTTGTTGTGCAACTCCAATGTATATATACTCTTTAATAACCGTGGACACTAATAATTAAAATTATTTATTGTAGACCATGCCAAGACCACATAAATTTTAAATAGAGATGCATTTCATAAAGTGATCCTGTTTGATGTTGGCATTTATGAGGTCTGATACAAAGCATGATTTTGTGAGTTCATGTTACAAGCATGCAGTTGTGAAATCATTTTCTCCTACAACTAAAAAGAACAAAGCGTAGACATCTTTTTTGGTGCGACATTTGTTTTGGTTCGTCAAATCATCCACGCCCCATGATCCTTGGGCGCCGCCAGGTGGGACCTCCTCCAAGCTTGCGATCCCCGCCTGCTTTGAAGGAAACAAATCGATCACCTGAGGCCACATGCATGGAAGGAAACAATAATCATGCATGGAAGGAAACAATAATGCATGAAAGAAAACAATAATCATACATGGAAGGAAACAATAATCATGTATGGAATGAAACAATCATGCATAGAAGGAAACAATAATCATTTACTCTCTTTTTTAAATAGTGGTCTTCATTTCAGAGTCCTTCATGCAGTTTAATAATGGCTGAGGAGCTAGGCTTGCGAGAACTTACTCTTAATTGGGTTGCGAGCGAGGGATGTAGCACTTCAATGGGTGTCTTGGTTGAGTTCTACAATTACAAAAAATTGATGGTGCTGATAAGATTGACAATCCTGTAACTCTGCAATACCTTTCTTTTTTTCAAAAAAAAGGAGGATAAATGCTACTTATGATCGAATCCATGTTCTTTTTATTGTTTTGATTTGATACCCACAGCCCACATATTAATTTTCAGATATGTTTGTAAAGAATCAAAAGAAGTTGACATAATACCAATCTTTCTTGTCGTCTTTTTCATTCTTTATATTTATACTATGTACCGTAGCGTTAGTACGAGCATGCATGAAAAACGAAGATGTCTTTACACTGCAGAAATCTTTCAAGAAGATCATGCATATATTATTCTTGTATTCAATATTATATATATACAATTACCTAGATATTCTAATTAAACTACAAAATTTTAAATTAGGATACGAGCTAAGACATGCAAACAGATATTTCAAAACTACCTGTATGGTCTAAAGAACTTAATAAATAAATTCTTCTAGAGACAATGCAAATTCTCTCTAATTTTTCATTTGGTGTAGTTAGTGTTATCATAGTACCCGCGTGTATTCATGGGAAATAAATCGTGGACAAAACGTGGACACTTTTTGGTGCGACATTCCAACATGGATCTATCGTTCTGCCAATATCCTTTAGACAGATCACATAAAGAATGAGAGTCCCTCTATGAGATTGCTCACAAGAGACTCAAACTTATATCTGATCATGGTAATGTTGAATTGCTTTGCATCAAAAGCATCGGCAATAATAAATGGGGACATAGGTTTTAGTATGCATAGTGGAGGAAAACTCAACATTGGCCTTCTCAGCAGCTTTTCTGAGCCTTTGCAGTGCTAACTTGTCCTTACTCAGATAGTCAATAAAATTATGCACCACTAAGAAAAGTATCACCATTGGTTGCCTTGACTTAAAAAATGTGTCGAAATTAAGAATTACAACACCTAATTCAACATCTTAAAACAGACACTCAACTGGATACCTTATTCTACAATATATGTCTGTGTGGAATAGTCTTAAAGCCACACATATTTATACGATGAGTATAACATACTTTGTTTTAAAATTTTATGAGAGATTTTTAAGACACGCAGTATTATTCATGTGACAGGCGTTAATATTTACATATATACTCGAACATGTGTGTACAGGATTATATGAAGATGCAGCGGAACTTATTCATGGATTTATTGGCGCATAAAAGAAATGGATATCGGAGAATTCTTTCTGCCGCTATAAAATATTATCTTAGCCATATCACGAAAAAGTCTATACAGTAGAGTTTGTGAGCCTGCGACGCCGCGCTCTCCGTGACTGTGTTAATTTCACGAACTTTGCTTTTTGAATTAAATGTCACTTTAACGTCGGTATTTAATTTAACAGTATTGTTATCTTATCGTGCGATCCGTGTGTTTTTAGTATAAAAGATTTAGTTGTCCCGTAACGACGCACGGGCACGCTACGTAGTCAAAACATCTAATTACATTTTGGTCACTCACCCCGGAGTCTTGGTCTTGCTCAATTGGGCTGCTCCTGGTCGTTTTATATCATATCGGTATGCTAATTTTCCTGTCAGTTTTTGCGTCGACAAGTAAATCCACGATTCCAGTAGTGCTAGAGTGCGGCACGTCTCTAACTTCTTGTCTTTTCGTGTGTGTTGGGTGTGTGCTGGGAGCGTGGTCTCTTTGATCTCTCATCTGCACTTTCTATGCTCTCTTCTTAATCAGATAACATGCAGATTTCTTGTGTTGTTTGGAAAGAAAATCTAATTATGTTATTTTATTATATGTCAATCCTGTAAGCAGAAGGGTACAATATTTTAAGGATTTCTATATTCTGCTTGGACATTTTATAGAAGGACTAGCGGCATTTTGAATGGACATATGTTTAGTGGGGATTTTCAAATTTTAAAAGGTTCATTATGGTAAATCAAGAACAAGACAAGTTTGTGTTTTGTAGTCGCATACATGCAACAAATGCATTTTGTAACCCATTTTTCCATTCTCCTGGACGAAGCAAAGTTATCAAGTGTGCTCTTTTTTTTTTGGATTTCAATTATGCCATTTTAGGGATAGGTTACAATAAGCATTGTCATCAAAAGACAAAAGCCCAATATTAATTCAGTTATTTAGGATTCAAGTTATGATATATATTTGGAAATTGCATAGCTACTACTTGGTGGGTGGGGGGGGGGGGGACCAAATCTAATGGTCTAACTAACTGTGCACTGCAGGCTAAATTGGTATTCATGCCATTCAACCCACTAATCACACGCTTTACCCTGTCATATAAGATGAGGAAAGTCAGGGAAGGGCTAGATAAAGTGTAACACCCTAAAATTTGCTTATCTTGAAATGGAGCTAAAATGATTTAATTTTGTATTTTTATGCTCATGAAAACATGGGGAAATAATAAATTTTCATTAGATTAAAATTTATCTTAAGGTAGAAACGTGTTTGTTGCATTCATGTCGGTCGCACCTTGTGTTTCTATGTGCAGAATGTGTGTTTTTTAAATACGTTTAGGAGACGAATATCTATCTCTAGGAATTTTCCAGCTTCTTTCTGAAATTTAATTCCTACCTCCTTCACCTTAATCTTTATGTTCCAAGTTTCCAGCAATGTTTTCATGAGCTCAAATACTTTATTTGGGTTCAACATGTTCTAAAGTGTCTCTGGAAAATTTTCCCAAATTTTCGGAGGTCTCGAAGTATTTTTCGTGGCTTAAATATTAATTCTAGACTTTTTTAGAATTATTTTATTCACAAAATTAATTAATTTCGAAAATAAATAATATATCTCATTTTATTTACTAATGGGCTTTAATCTCATGTGCAATAATCCTAATAAATCTCAAAGGCCCATGCATTTATTTACTAATGGGCTTTAATGATTATTTAGGTCAATTAGTAAATGTGGAGGGTGCAACATCAATTAGTACCATATTACTAGTTGATGTAGATGTGGGGAGTTTTTCTCCCTATAAATATGTACCAACCCTTTGGGCAAAGCACACCAAAAACTACCGTAAGGGGAGCCCCTAGTTTGGGAAATCCCCCGTGTAGTAAATTAGATTTTTCTCCTCCTCTCGCGGTCGCCGTCGCCGCCGCGCTGCCCGACGCTGTAGACCCGCCGTCGACCGCAAGAAGGCCCTAGGTGAGTTCGTCGTCTTCTTCTCTTGTTCCCTGTGCTCTCGGCTTGTCAAACCGTGGCCTCTAGGGCCTAAACCGAGCACTCCGGGGAGCTTCTCGTCACCGATAATGGAGCTCCGGGGGTCTTGTTTGTGCCTGAGGTACAAACGAGGCATGTGTTTTGAGGTACCCAGCTGGGATACATTGGTTCACGAATCACCATTTTCGTGAGACGGTGCGACTTGGCTATAGTCTAGCACCGTAGTAAGAACTGAAAGATAAAAGATGGTGAAATAGTTCTGATTACTCAACCCTTGCTCGAAAGTAGAACAGGTGCTTACCTAGAATGGTTAGCTAATGAAGCAATCATGACTACTAATAAAACTTGACTGTACGGATGAACTATTAGTAATGCTTTTCGAAAATAACAAGAAAACATCAAACTCATATTGCCTATCATATTCTTGAGAGTCGAGAAACTATTCCCATTAGTCGGGTAAGTCTTGTGAGTATATTGTGTACTCAAGGTTTATTTACCCCTGTTGCAGGTGCAGCTTGAAGAGTAGCTCTTGTGTGGAGGATTCTTCTGGTGGACAGATCCTTGTATCATTTCCGCTAGATGTTTATTTTTATTCCACTGTTTTATTATCGCACTCTGAACTCTGGTATTGTAATAAATAATTTTCAAGAACTCTTGTTG